TACAGAGTAACGGCCAGGGCCGAGGGCTACAGCCTCATCAGCAAGAAGTGCGAAGTGGGCTACGAGATGGGTGCCACCAGGTGCGACTTCACCATCAGCCGCACCAACCTGTCACGAATCAAAGAAATAATGGAAAAATTCAATAAGCAACCCATCAGATTGCCCGCCAGGGCGCTCCAAGCTCGCAGGCACAGGCAAAGACGTCTGGGAACATAATGACTGTATATATGAAAGCCTGAGAAAGAATTAAAAACAAGCACATGCTCTGATCAAACTGGGGTGAGGTCCAAGCCTCCAGGTTTCAGATTCCTCCAGTTTACTGTCAATGGAATTAACGTTTGAGGATGGGTGTTAATTTAAATGGGATGTTTTATTTTGGTGTTTGGATTTGTTTTGTCCCCAGGCATAAGCTCTCACTGTGCTCACTGTTGTCATCTTAACTTCTCTTGATATCCACGGAAAACATTTCAATATTTGACTCTGTCTGAGTTTTCTTATGACCCCTTTCGTAATTTACAAAAATATTAAGATATGTGCCATCATGATGTATTGTGGACAACAGAATATAGTCACATTAGAACATTTTGTTACACAAAAGAAGGCTGAAATACAAACTACAAGCTATAAATCTGTATTAGCATCTCATATTAGCCGCTGACAATGGCCTTGACTGTCATTATGTACATACTTATGTAACATAGTTAGATGAACTATTACAAAAGCTTTATTACCTACTCTTGTACAATCTTTAGTGGTTAAAAAAACGTGGATTCAGTGACTATTTGTCATTGATTAGTTTTTTGTTAACTTCAGCAAGTATTCAATAAAGACTATGTTTACACACACTGAACATGTGGTAGCATGTGGATTTTATTTATGGAAAGCACTTTTGAAATCAATCAGACGTTATATAGAGTTTAAATTATTGCAAGGGGCCACATGGATGTCATTTCAGAATGATTTTACAACAGGGGTTTATATTACAGTTCTGTAACTTCCACACAATTTCCTTGATGTTAACTGGATAGAACTACTTACTGTAATTTGATAGCAATTATAATAGTATTCAATTTGTACATTGTTATTCAATTTACTTCAATTAACAGGGCAACCTAGAACTTTTTTTATAACAGTGCACAGCCTCTGGAACACTCCTTTTGATGATGGTGAAGTTAGCAGAAAAGCCTTCCTTAGCAATAGCGCTGTCTGTATTGACCGTCAGTGCCAAGATGCCTGTGTAGGAGATCATCCTGCCCAGAGTGTTTTGCCCACAGTTCCCAACATATGAACCGACTGGCGAGAGAAAGGAGAGAAAAGCAGAAGCTTGGTTACTCGAGTTATGGTGAGTTCACGCATTCAAAAGACTTGGTCAGAGACAGCTGCCATTCTGTGTAAATGAGACCTGGCTTTGTGGCTGTGCACCCCTTGCAAAGCTTGATAGACTGAAAAAGCTACACTGCAGGGGGAAAGTTGAGGAATGCTGTAATATGCAAATATCCCCTGATGAAGTGTGAGTGACAGCTAGGTGAGAGCCAATCACAGTCATCTAGGTTCCAGCAGAAAGTGAAGCACAGAGTTGTTTCCTACTCCACTGGCTGAAGGGATTGGAAAAAAATGAAGGAAAAACCAGGACACAAAAACAAAGAATGAATTGTGTGAAAACAAACCACCAACATTATTAATGTGCCTTACACATCAAAAAACTACTATCCTGTCAGGGCAGGGTATATAAATGATGTGCTCAAGGCAATACAACCCCCTAACTACAGATTCTATGGCTTGGGCTGTACTGTATATAGGGCATGTGCAAAATAGAGACGCATTTTCTCTCATAAATTAATGTTCCCTACTGGTCTCTTTCAAGGCCACAGGAGGCTGCAACTCACTTTAGCATACTGGCTGTAACACACCAGGAGAAGGTATCATTCCTGCACAGTGCTGCTAACCCATATTGACAGGCAAACACGTCCCCTCAAATCCTTTGACAGTTTAAGGTTTTAGCCCACCTAATGTACAATGTTTGGAGGGAACTCCACACCAAAATGACCAGGAACTGATAAAAAAAAAGTCAAAGCATTTCTAGTAGCAAGTAACTGACCATTATATTGCTGGTTATCTGTATGATTAATATTAAAAATATCTCTGATTTTAGATTCACTGCTGCTTGACTGAGCATCTCTAATGGAGACCAGACTCCAATTCATTCCCATAACATTACTGTAATTACTGTGGCTAATTTTAAGCATTATCTCATTTGATTTCTGCAGCACTGAAAATGTATCTTTGGAGAGTCTGAGAAGAAAGGCTTTAATTGTCAGGGCTCTGCTGGGGCTTTTACACATCACTGGCTTCTTCTGACAACAACAGCAACCTTCCTCCTCTCTGGCCAACATGCAATTAGAGGAAGACCTCTTCTTTCCTGCTCCAACCTTTATTGAACAGAGGCTCACACACCTGTCATCATCTCATAGCACTGCAAAGGCACATCAGAGCAAGTTAATAATTTATATTTTAATACTGTATGCTTTCTGCGGCTCTATACTGCACCACAGTCAGCAACTCTGAATATGAAACAGTAGAAATGTACAGTATATCTAAGTAATGTATGTGTGTAACATATTAAAGGGACCGACTTCATGATTTTACAGGCTTTAATTCATTAAATATGAATTGCAGGGAATTCAGGGAATATTGTTTTAAGCATTCAAAGCAAAAAGAGCCAGGCTGACTCTGTAGAAAGCTACAAAGGTATGTAAAATTAGAGTTGATTAGAACAACTTGTTTAGATTCTGGCACCTTGTTTTTTGCAGAAGCAGTTTTAATATTATTTTTCTGTAGCTCAGAGAAGAGATGTGGTCAGTAGTTATGCTTGAGTGCCAACACATGTACAAAATTTACTTCACTTTGACTGTCCGGTAATGTATCACGTTGTTAAATAGCTATCCAGCCCACGAATTAAAGTAAAACAAGCCATATATTTGTTAAAAAGGCAGACCATTTCACAGTGGTGAGAGTCATTATTATTTCATGTAAAATAAACTGAAGTTCAGACTTCCTCATACTGTATGTTCTACAGATGATTCCTGAATTGAAGTGATGTGGAATGGGGGTTGTACAATGTGCACCCTGTGCATTGTAGCTGCTGTGGCCTGCATCTGTAACACAGGCACAAACTGACCTTGCCAGTAGTTGAAAGGCCGACGCTTCTTCAGAAGTCAGTCCAGCTCTTGAAGTCCTAGGGCAGTGGTTTGGATATATCAGGAGTGAGTCACCATACAGCTTTGATAAACTAGTGCTTAACCTCTGAGACAGATTAGACTCACTGTGGGCATGATGGGGCAGATCAGAAAAATAGAGATGATGGTGAAAAAGTTTCATATTTCTGCATCTAATTTTTATCCATTTTTTTCAGTGGGGTTCAGTTAACTTGTTTCCCATTTAAATTCTCCAACCTGGGTCTTATTTCAGTTTTGATCGTGCTTCTCATATTATACTGAAGGTAATTGCTGAGGTCTCTAAAACAAAGTCTGACAGAGCAAGAAACATGCGCAGTCAGGTGTTTGGACAGGTTTTGAACAAACCTCTAGTTTGGCCAAAGTTTTCTAGAGGAGGCGAATAACAGTGGAATCATTAGTCGACAGACCCACTTCTGCTTCAGCTTTGACCTATTGTATTTATCGTGCCCCTACAAATGAGTGGATGGAGTCATCACACACAGCAGGTTCACACAGGAGCTCTGGATTTAGTAAAATATGATAGGGGGAGGTAGAAGTGTAACTGAATATGAATTCTATAACTTAATTACTCAGATATGAACAGAAAATACTCTTTCTTTTAAACCAGTGACTGGATAATGTGCCATTTTACATTAACACGTTTACAAAGAAAAGTAATTAATTGAATTAATTTTAACATTTAATCTCTAATTAATCTTAAGTATAGTTTTACACATATTTCTGGTATGTTGTTTCAGTGTATAAACCAAAAAAAGACCGGCTTTGTGACAAATATGTTCAGACTCTCACAGCTTTGACTTTAACCTCATTTCCTTCATGGTCCAATTCAAAGGGTTATGAGAAGTAAAATGACAAATATTCCTTTGTCTTTCAGATCAAGGTGTCCACTTTCACTTTGTGTTGTGGTTTATTTCTAACTCCAAGTGAGGCCAACCATGATTAAGCCATGTGTTAAGGTCAGCGCCACCCACCTGAAGATAATCACTGGCTCCTGGGGTGTGAATCAGTGTACAGAACCTCAATCATTTGCAGCGGAGGTCGTCTCAGTCAGCCGCGATGTTGATTCATTACCACTTCCACTGTGGTGTGAACTAAAAAAATGGACTCCGTCTGGCTCTGATTGATTGCAGGTGGACACAGTCCAAATTGCTGTGGATACAAAAGCTGGAGGTCATATCACTCGTATCAAACTTCTTATAGTCCAATAGTTGTTCCTCAAATCCAAAATGGATTGAAGATTATGGCATTCATTTAACACTCAATCATAGCTACGGGCCTGGACCTGAGTTTCTATGTCAGCTATTTCTAAATAGTGAATTGTTAATGTATTTACACTGGTGTTATTTCATTGTTTTTTATCATCAAAAGCATCTGCTGAACAAACTGAAAATGGAGGGCTGAGATGGAAAAGAAAGAACGCAGATACAATTTTAACTTGCTTAGCTTGGATATACTTTGAAGAAAAAAGAGACCCTGGGACGGGCAGATAGTTTACATTTCCTCACTTCACTGTAGCTCATAAAGCTCAGGCTTTGTGTTCTTCTCCCATTCTGGAGTTTTTGATATAGTCAAATAGCAGGCTTTCCTGGAAAATCTTTGTAAAAACAGTACCAGATGACTTTGATAAAGTCTACAGATTGCTTTAATCATCAAGGTCAAAATGATAAACAGTCGTCTTTCTATTTTTAACCAACATCACAATCACAATAACCATAGAAACAAAATCTTCTCATCTTACCATCAACAGATGGAAACCCCATCAACAGCCATCTTTAGCAGCAGTAGCATCAAGCCAAGGTTGAATAGATCCAGAGGTATATAACAAAACACTTCAGGCAGTCAAGTCTGTCACCATAACAAAATGAGGTATGTTACACTCACTTCATTGCTAACTAGCGACAGCAGTTCAAACTTAATTTGCATTGAAGCAGCACATGTTACAACACTCAAACAAACACAGAGTTGTCATAAATTGGATATATCAAAAAGAAAAAAGACTTTTCACTTTGTCATTTATTCAAATCTGTCAGCATATTTAACATGATTAGCTTATTTTTTTTGCCAATAACCATCATTTATGAGAAAAATAACAACTGTACATCAGTGCAAAACACCACCACGAAATTACCATGGAAAGTAGAATTAGAGTAAAGGAGTACAGAGGCAAGTCTAATTACAGTATATGTTAATTAATGGAAGTTAATAAGGCCATGATTGAGACTATCTATATTCAAGATATCCAAATGACACTGTAAATGGAATAAACACCATATATTACAGAATTTAAGGCCTCATTTGTCTTGGAGCGCCATACAATACTATGCATCATATATTCCAGACAGTTTCTGCTCTGTATACTCATAAATCCTTAAAGCTATGGACGCAAAATAAAAGCATAAATAAGGATATAGATATCAATTAGTCTTTACACTGATAGTTTAATCTTTTCCTATGTCTTCAGAAAATGAGCTGTGCATGTAGCTACTAATATTTGGCTAACTGGGCATCATTTATAACATTGGCACTGTGTGTCCTAACTGTGGATGCATACAGTATCTCACTGATGGCCCCTTGCATGTACAGTCTAAATGCATTGTGTATTCA